TACACTACCATTTCCCTTTCTCTACAATCCAGTCTTTGTTTTCCTTCAACTTTGTCTTCCATTCACAAGACTGCATCTGAACCCTCTTCTGGTGTCTGGGAAGTTGCCTTCCTCATGAAGCAGAGCCCACCTCTCACAATGGAAATCCAAAGTCCATGCGGTCATTCTCCCAGCCTCCCTATCAGTTAGAGCTGTGCTGTCATATATGATAGCCACTAGCCACATGTAGCTATGGAGCACATGAAATGCAGTAGCGTCACAGGTTGAAATGATAATATTTTGGATATATTGGCTTAAATAAAATATGTTGTTAAAATTAATTTCACCTTTTTCTTTAATTTTCTTAATGTGGCTCCTAGAAAATTTAGGATTATGTATATGGCTCGCATTATATTTCTATTGGACAGCATTGAGCTAGAGTGTTAACATGGGACTGGGTTGTGTCAGTCATTTGTCCCCAGGCTTGGGACTGACAGCCAGCATGGTGAAGTCACAGTGACTCTCTGTTCTAATGAGAGTAGTGGCAGCGATAGTAACTGTATCTGTTTCCGGGGCAGCAGTGACATCATCCAGTGTCTAGGTCAAGTGGTGTTGGTGGTCCCAGTTTTGGTTATCTGTATCCAGCAGTGGATACCGGGGTGGCTCCTCAGGACCAGTTCTGGGCATAATGTTGAGTGTTGCTCCTGTATATCCTACAGGCACCCAATATTCTTCTAACGAATGCCTTTTCTGCTAAGGTTCTTCATGAATTCTCTCCTCTCCACCCCAGTCCACAAAGATTCTTCTTTCACATCAACAGTGAATCAGATCCAAACTACACACTTGACACTTGACCTGTGCTAGTTATATTATCATAGGAAAGTACCTTTCTCCTCAGCCAGACTGTAAAATTCCCCAGGGCAGGAGCCCTGGTTTTTTTTTGCATGATTGTTTCTCAGTAGCTGTCAGGTCATCTTGGTTATATCATCTCTGGAGGAATACTTGTTAGCTATCGCTGCAGAGCTCTGAGGTAGACAGAGCAGCTATCATAATTCCTGTTCATGCAGATGAGGACTTGCTCCGTGGGGTAGAGGGACTGGCCCCTAAGTCCTGCAGCTGGTTTCTGCCAAATTGAGACAGTAACCCAGAACTCCTCACTGCTCATCCCCACCTCTTTCCTCTACTTCAGGCCCTAGCATATACATATATATATGTGTGTGTATATATGTACACACACACACACACACACACATGATGGTGTATTTGTTTCTAGGGCTGCTGTAACAAAGTGCCACAAACTGGGAAGCTTAAAATAATGGGTATTTATTGTCTCACAGTTCTGGAGGCTATAAATCTGAAATCAAGGTATTGACAGGACCATGCTTCCTCTGAAACCTGTAGAGAAATCCTTGCTTGCCTCTTCCTAAATTCTAGTGGTTGGCTGGCAAACTTTGGTGTTCCTTGGCTTGTAGCTACATAACTCCAATCTTTGCCTTTGTCATCACATGGCTTTCTCCCTGTGTGTCTCTTTCTTCATATGGCTGTCTTCTTATAAGGACACTAGTTATTGGATTAGGGGTCCACCCTACTCTAGTATGACCTCATTTTTTTTTTTTTTTTTTTGCGGTACGCGGGCCTCTCACTGTTGTGGCCTCTCCCGTTGCGGAGCACAGGCTCCGGACAAGCAGGCTCAGCGGCCATGGCCCACGGGCGCAGCCGCTCTGCGGCATGCGGGATCCTCCCGGACTGGGGCACAAACCCGTGTTCCCTGCATCGGCAGGCGGACTCTTAACCACTGCGCCACCAGGGAAGCCCTAATATGACCTCATTTTAACTTAACTAATTACATCTGCAATGATCCTACTTCCAAATAAGTTCATACTGGTTAGTAATTGAGATTAGGAATTCAACATATCTTTTGAGGGGTGGGGGAATATTCAACCCATAACAGATGTTAACCATAAGAGGAGAGAATACCATAGTAACCAAAGACATTGCCTTGATTCCAGGATTTATTCCAAGGAGGAATCATACTACAGTGGGGTAGAAGGTGGAGGAGACTTTTTCGGTATATATTCCCACCTACTACTTGGTTTGCTTATGGACTAACTGGGTTTTGTTGACAAGTGTGTGTTATTGTGAGTTAACAGTATACAGACGATGGTGTATAATTCTGATGAGTAGATGGGATAAGTGACTGTTGCAGTAACCCTGTCACTCTTTGCCAGAGAACTGTCTTTGATCACTAAAGTATTACTTGGAACCTAGATGAAAGAGTTAGTCATACAGTAACAAGCCTAACTGAGGGGATGCAGCTAGCATTTAGGGAATGCACCCATTTTTCTGTATCTTCTCTTTTCCTTTGAAACATATAAAAGTTATTAATAAAAAGAAATACAAATTTTAAAAAGACATGAAAAGGAAATGGTAAAATGAGCTCTGCTCTAGTGTGAAAGAAAAGAATGGCAACAGTTTCCAATCAGGCCCTTTGTTGAGATCCTGCACAAGAATAGCAGTATGATTGGGATTCTTAAATGGCAGTAGCTGAAATCGCTAATGAAAGCCTGCTAATGACACAGACTCAAATCACCAAACAAACCCATCTCGAAATCCAGTTTCTCTAGATGGGAAGGACATGGGCTTTAGGCTCGGCACTACCTCTTAATGTAGAATGCTGGGCAAGTGACTTAATCTCTCTAAAGTGTTCTATGTATAAAAACAAGGATAACTACCTAGCAGGGGTGTAGTGAGGATTAAGTGTCTAGCAGAGGACACAGCACATATAATAGGTGCTCCATTAAATTGAAGCCTTTGTCCTTCTAGTTTTGCAAATATCAATGTATGCAATACAGGGCTTCCCTGGTGGTGCAGTGGTTAGGAGTCTGCCTGCCAATGCAGGGGCACGGGTTTGAGCCCTGGTCCAGGCAGATCCCACATGCTGCGGAGCAACTAAGCCCGTGCAGCACAACTACTGAGCCTGAGCTCTAGAGCCCTTGAGCCACAACTACTGAGCCCACGAGCCACAACTACTGAAGCCCATACACCTAGAGCCCGTGCTCCGCAACAAGAGAATCCACTGCAATGAGAAGCCTGCGCACCGCAACAAAAAGTAGCCCCGCTCGCCGCAACTAGAAAGGCTGCGTGCAGCAACGAAGACCCGGCGCAGCCAAAAATAAATAAAATACATTTATTAAAAAAATATGCAATATAATCTCTGCCCACTACCCCACCATCACCTACTCTTTTTCATCTCATTCTCTTTCTCTCTCTCTCTCTCCCCCTCTCTCTCTCATTCCTATTTATAATCTAGCAGAGGAGACATAAACAGGAAATGACTTGCATTTAATTTTAAAAGCCAACAAGTGCAAAACAATGTAGTATACCATTGACTATTTAGATGCTGACAAACTTCCACATTCATGAATACAACAAACATATTGAGTGACCACCCATGCCAGGCATGGAGCTAGGCATGGGGTATTCACTGGTACATGAAACATCTTCCCTCTCTCGTGGAGTTCACAGTTTAGTGGGGAGCCAGTGAAGAATAATGAACATATAATTTAAAAATACATTGAGTGCCCTGGAAGAAATGATCAGGTGCAATGATGGAGACTAATGAGAGGGCAGGAGGGAGACTTAGTTTAGGAAGGATAGCCTTTCTGAGGTGACATTTAAACTGAAACATGAAAGATGACAAGCTAGATGTGTAAAGAACCGGAGCAAGGGTCTTCAAGACAGTGGAATCAGCACGTGCAGTGAGACAGTCAGGAGCTAGAAGTGACTGAAGAGGAAGTAGTTCAGGCAGTGTCACCGAGACAGAGGGGCCGCTTGGAGTAAACTCCAACTCTTACCATGGCCTCAATGCCCTACCTAATTTGGCCCCTGCCTCCCCCTGACCTCATTTCCTCCCCAGGTGTCCATGCCACCTATTCTTTCTGTCCCTTAAGTGCTGGTCTCATTCCCACCTCACGCCTCTGCTTTTGCTGTTTCCTGTCTGGAAGGTTCTGCCACAGATGGTCTCATGACTTCTAGCCCCTATGGTAAGTCAGGCCTCAGATCAAGTGTCATCTCTGGAGAGAGATCGCTCGCTAACTACCACTTCTCACTCTCCATCATCTTTTTGTGGTTTGTTATCTTCCCATCCCTTTTCACTATCGAGCATTATTTTGTTGATTTCTTTTAGTCTTTTATTGTTTATTTTCTCCCCTAGAATGTAAGTCCCATGAGTTTATATTACTTACTGCTATAAACCTAGAATCATATCTAGTATATAACAGACACTCAAATATTTGTTGAATTAATGCTGAATGAAATAAAGCTAAAGAGGTAACGCAAGGTAAAAGAACTGATCAAACTGTGTGACAGGGAGGACTTCCTAGAAGAGGTAGGTTTTGAATTAAAATTGCGGGGTCAAGAGAGAGGAGGCCGTGTGCAGTTACAAAACAAGAATTTAGGAAATTACTCTCTCACTAGAAAAAAAGTTCTCTTTTTCACTAGATTATGAGCATCTTTACCGCTGGAGCCGAGTTCTACTAATCTATCATCAGCGCCTAGCCTGGGACCTGGCACATAGTAGGCACGAGACAGGTTTTTGCAGAATGACTGTGGGGTGCGCAGAAGGGTGTATTAATCTGGCCGCGGTACAATTCAGGAAAAGCCGGCAGCACCCGTGCAAGGCAGAAGACAGCGACGCCGAACCGGAACACAGCCGTGCGCAGCGGCCGACACGGCTGCGCATTATATAGTTCCCTCTCCGCGAGGCTAGCGGACGCCGGCAACCTCGGCGCACGCCTGCGCACTGCATTCTTCCCGCTTCCGACAAGATGGCGGAGGCCAAGTAGCGAGGGGGCGGGGTGTGGCCGCCGGAAACCCGGCCGCTGCTGGGGGCTGGGGAGGGGAGCTGCGGGTGAAGGCCCGGGAGCAGCGGGCTGAGGCTGGCAGGATGCTGTTCCTGGGAAGCATTGTTGGCTACCGGTAAGGAAGGCGAAGCACAGAGTTGCCTTCCCGAGCCCCCCGGTGCCCCCTATGTACGCCTCCCTCGGCTCGGGTCCGGTCGCCGCGTTGTCTGCTTCGGTACCACCCTGTTCTCTCGGGTCCTGGAGCCCCGGCGGCGGCAGGGGCTGTGTCCGGCAGGAGAGGAAGTGCCGGGGCTGCGTCCGTTCTTCTGTCCGCGGGGCGAACGTCTGGCAGGTGAGTGAAGCTGCAAGCTTCGGCGTCTCCTCCTTTGGCAGACCTTTGTCGGCTTTGCCCCGCCGTTACTTAGACCCTAGTGGTGCTCAGCTGGACTCTGCCGCTGCCTTGTGTCCACGTCCCACCCCCTCCCCGCCCCGCGCCCTCTTTCAGGCCTCCAGTTGGCCCCTGGCTTTGCAGGTCCTCCGTTCTCACCCAGTGGGTGGGGGTTGCGACGCCTGACGCCCTCCGCACCTTTCCTGGGTTCTAGTGAAGCGTCAGCCCTGCAAGCGGTCTCTACTTCGCGTTAGGTGGGTGGGTCGTCCTCCTGTTTTAGTCACCTCCCCATCTTCCTGGTTTCGATCTTCTTGCTTCCTTTAAAAGTTTTTAACTGGGGAGCTTAGCCGATAGTCTGGCTTACAGAGTTACAAAGAAAAAGCTTGTTATCCAGAGGCCAGTGGATTTTGTTCACCTTGTTGGGGGAATCCAGTCCCCAGGAGACTGGGATGGTTTGGGAGAGTTTGACTCCTTGACCCATCGAACTCCTGCAGAGTTGAGGAATGGTGCCGGTGACGGCAAATGATTGATCATCTAAATTAATCTTTTTCTGACTATCGCAAATCTGGTCTGTAAACTTTGGGTGGGGGACGTAAGTGTTATAGATCTAGGGAAAGAATTGGGAAGTGTTCGTTTCTTTAAAAGAAGGCTTTATGAATGTAGGAAATGTAATAGTACAAGAAAGGGTGATTTAAATGATTCTTTTATTCAGTGTTAGCTTACATTGTCCACTGAAGCCTTAGAATCCCGTACTGTCCAAGCCCTTTGTTTTATTTAGAAAGGACTAAAATGGAGAAAAAGCTTTTTAAACTCAAAACTTCTCAAATTTCTTGGATTCTCAGTTGTTGCTACAACTTAACAATCTTTATAGTACTTGATATTTTCTGTTAAATTTAGCCTGTGCCAGTCTTATTTCTCCTTCCTTTAATATTGGGGCAAGAGTAGTCAGAATTATTGGTGTAAGAAGTTGTCCTAAATAACATGGTACCTTGCCAGAGTTCATAAGTGCAAACTGCAGGATCGAAGTGGTTGGGGAGGAAGTTGCCATGGCTGATTCTCCCATCTTTTCCTGTAGTTGGATAATGTGTCAAGAGCCCCAGAATGGTAAAAATGAGGTTAAAAATATAAATGGCATCTTATCCATTGAGATTGCAAATGGGTGGACCTTTTAAAATTAACATTAAATTGAGTGATATCATTTTGTTGAAGCTCTGCTAGATGCTCTCCAAAGTTATTAAAGCACAAACTATCCTTGCCCTATTTGAATTCTATACTAAAAATCTTTAACAGGTGGGTTACAATTCGCTTGACAGATTTTTTACTTTTCATTCTTCATGACACACATCTGCGTTACCCTTTATTGTAGACTTTTGACTTTGGAGCTAGAATTGTTCATTTTAAAAGGAGAGGAGGTAGTTTAATGTTTGATTCCTGTATGGGCTAATTAATTCATTTGTTTGTTGCTAGCCTTCACTTTTCTACAACCAAGGACTGCGTGTTTTTAGAGCTGGTTGTCTCTCAGTTTTGTGCTTTAAGCTGAAAGGATGTAGGACTGCTGAGCCCCAGTCAGTGGCTCACTGCCCCGGGCATTGTGTCGAGACCTTTCTGGCCACAAACAATCACTCTTCCACTCTTAATGGAACCTGTTTTCTCTCTCTTTCTCTCCCCCTCTTCCTCTCTTTAGGAAAACACCCCTCTTTGTCTCTCTGTTCATTCAACCCATTAGCCTACTGCTGCAACTCATTTGCCTCCCCATGTAACTAGGATCCCATGGTCATCAGTTTTTACCAAGCTGTCATTGATGCTTTAGAATGCTTTACTTTCTGTAGATTTACCTTTCTAGTCCCCTGTCCTGAACAAGTCTCATCACTAGCTTTGTCAGTTTGACCCCAGAAATCCTGAAGGATACAAGAGACAGTTATGTGAGGATATTGGTTTGCTTCCATACCAATTAGTGTTCTGCTTATCTGCTGGATCTTTAGTGTTGATTGTGTTCCTTTTTGTCTTACTTCCTGAAGGTTTTTATAGCAAATAACTCTTCCTTTCCTGAGAAAAATCTCAGCCATCTGAGGTATAATCTTTTCTATCTTGGTATCATTTCCTTATTTACTTATATCTCAAGAGAAGAAATGTCCTTCATTTTTTTTAAAGAGCAACCTTCTCCAGATGTGCCCACAATCATCCCTCTCCATCTTTCTTTCTCCATAATTGTCCAACATCACTCCTTTTTCAGTCTCTCCCTCTCTAGCCTATATACATGTTTATGTATACCTTTTCCAGGGCTGCCAAAATACAGTGCTCTGTGCTGTGCAATTCAGGGAGGCCAGTCTGAATCTTGAGCCTGTTGTGCCACTGTATTTTTATTCTTTAAGCCCAGGAGCCTGGTATAGTAGGAAGAACATTGATATTTAAGCCACATAGATCTGGTTTTGAAGTCTGCTAAAACCAATTTACTGGCTATGTGTCTGTGGGCAAGTTACTACTGAGACTCTATTCTTTATCTATAAAATAGAATGTTACAGTTACCTCACAGAGTTGTAATAGAAGGAGTTTAACCCATGTTACATGTCTTTCCAAGGGTTTGGTACATTATGGAGTTCTTAAAAATATAAATTATTCTTTCCTTTACACTCTGACTTCCTTTACCATTTCAGCACTGAAATTGCTTTTTTAAGTCACCTATGACGGTCTAATTACCAAATCTAATGGCCTTTCCTCAGTCATCCTTGGTTTCCTTAGACCATTTTTGAAATACATTCTATAGGAATAAAATGATCTGATTTCTTGGTTCTTGTGCATTGTACTTCCTGATTCTCTTACATCTCTGAAAACTTCTGTGCATTTCCTGCACTGTCTTGATTTTGCTCTCCCCGCTAAACATAGCTGTTTTCTACATCAGTTAGGATGCAAACTGAACGTAAAAACAAAAGAAATGTATTAGCTCAGGTAATTGGCAGGTGCATAGGTAGAATTGGTTTAAAGAGTAGTTTGTTCATAAACTTAGCTTTGTTATCAGGGCAGAGGTTCTGGTTTTCTGCTTTTCGCTAAACTTTGTCCTCCTGTTTGGGCTTCATGCTCAGACTGGCTTCCCTTCTAGAAAAAGACAGGTGTCGGCAATGCTCGTGTTAAACCCTTCTTCATTGACTTTCAAAGAGAGAAAGCTTCTCTTCTAGCCTTTGCCCAAAAGTCCTAAGCTTTACTTTGATTGAACAAATGGAGAAGATCATGCTGCCAAGTCTGTCACAGTAGCTTTGTCAAGAGGGATGGAACTATTCTAACTGGCCCAATCAGTGGATAAATCCCATCTAAAATGAGAGGGAGGTGGAATGGATCATGGGGAGATAGCAAGCGTTTTCAGGGGTTTCTTTGCTTTTCACTGTGTTCTCTTGGTGATCATGTCCTATTTTAAATGATGTAAGCCATCATTTTTGTGTGTGTGTTTCTCAGTGCTGTAACTACTTCCCTTCTACCCCTTGCTATATATATCTCTACCTTAGATGTACTAATGTAAGCTTACCTCTTACCACACTGAGCCAATTTGATTTCCATCCACCTACCGTCACCTAAGGTGTTTACATGTGCATGTGTGAAGGTATATATATTCCTTTTCCTCCTGATTTCCTTTTTCTAACCACCTTTCTCTCAGCCACCCAGTCTTGAAACCTTGTAGTCATCTTGGTTCTTCTCCCACTTTCATTCAGATATCAGAGCTTGAACATACCTTATATTAGTTGGGCCCCAGGTTATGTAATACTGAACTAACTGATTTAAACAGTATCTTGCATAGAAAGAAGTTCAGTTGGAGGATTCCATGGTGAGTCAGTTTAACAGCACAAGGATGTTATCAAGGATCCAAGTGCTTTTAATCTTTATCCACAGCTGCTGACCTTTGTGCTCAGGTTTATCCTCTCATGGCTGCATGTTGCTCTTTCTGCTCCAGGCATCACTTTCTTACATAGCCACCAAAGACAGGAGGAAGTTTGCCCTCCCATCTCTTGATGAGGCAAGTAAACCCTTCACTGAAGCCCTGTATCAGATGTCATCCTGGCATGCTTATGCCCTAGTTGCAGGGAGGCTGGGAAAACCAATATCTGGCATTTCAGTCTAGAAAGAAATTAGGTGAATGGCTACAGGGAAGGTAACCAACAATGTCAGTGACATATCTTGATAGTATTGTATGGAGAAGTAAGCTTAAATAAATGAGAATTTTCAGGTAGTATTAGCAAACTTAAAGCACTGAGTTGATATAAGCTATACGTGGGATTTTGGCCAATCATTAAGATAGTCATAGGTGACATTAAAATTGGATTATTATATAAAATTAGGATATTTGAGTGGTATATCCCAGTTCTTTTAAGGTTGTTGTTAAGTACACTTAACGCATGCACTGTGAGAAATGGATATATATATATATAACAACTTAGGGAATAGATTGTGGTTCCCCTTGGAGGTGGGAGGTATTTGGAAATATATGGGGATATTTTTGGTTGTCAGAGTGATTGTGAGGTCCTACTGACAATTACCAGGTAGAGACCAGGTACACTGAGTGTCCTGTGATGTTTGCCCACAAAACAAGAATTGTCCCTTCCAAAATGCCAGTAGTATCCCTATACACTGAAATAGCAAATGCTTTGGTTTTTGAAAGAATTCACTGAGATTCATCTGTATACTTATATTACAAGTGACAGAAAACCAAATTCAAACTGCTTAAACAGTAAAAGGCATGATTAGATCTTGTAATTGAACTTCAGCTAGGGCTTCATCCAGCCTGAAATCATCAAGGACTTGGCTCAATTTCTCTGTGATTCGTTCTGCTCTGTCATTCCCCTTGTTTTGATTTCATTCTCAAGCTAGCTTATCTCATGGTAGCAAATTACTGTAACATTTTCAGACTTAATACCCTCATTTCGTATATAAGGTGAAGTGAAGAATATCTTTTGTATTTGATTTTGCAAGTATTTGTT